GAGCCAGAGCGGCTCCTCTGTGTGCCCGGCTCTGGGTGGGGTCAGAGGGCCTGGGGGGCAAGCATGGAGAGGTGGTCTCTGAGCTTTGGTTTCCTCCTCTGGAAAATGGAGCAGTGCCACAGCCTCACAGGGATGCCCGGGGCTCAATAAAAGCCCCTCCTGCTTCTAGGCTTACTGTCTAGACTGGCAGTTCAGACTGCAAGGAGCCCGAGGTACCACCAGCACACAATGCAGAGCACTTATTTAGCACCTGCTGTGTGCTCAGCTCCGGGAAAGGGGACCAGCAGCCTCAGGCCTGACCCTGGGGAATGAGACGCCTGGTCAGGTCAGAGGAACAAGCAGGGTGCAGAGGATCCATGGGGAAGCGGCTCTGAGCAGGACACTGACAGGTGACAGGGAACTGGAGGAGCTGGACCGCCCCACATGGGCCCCCAGCACCTCTGGCCGCGTCTAACTGGAGCCACGCCCCAGAACTGGGCACCTGCATGGTCCCCACCGCTACGGTCAGCCCGGTGTTCCGAGTTTGTCTCCAGCTGAGCCTGCTCTTCAGCCTCAGCCAAGTCTCTCTCACTGACTGCCCCTCTCCCCCAACAAGCCTGCCTCTGGGCCTTGCTGGCGCCGAGCCCGCCTCACAAGCCCCAGGTGGCCACATTAGCCTGTGGTGTTACCAGATGGGACTATTAATAACCCATTTCACAGAAGAGGAAATTGTGAAGCTGGGGTTGCTATAGCCTCCGAACCCAACTTCACTAATACAAGCCAGGGCAGTTTCTCCCACCCCTCCCAGAGTTAGGCACACAGTAGGTGTTCAACCAATGCTAACTAGACAGTGTCCCTGCAGAACAGCCTGCAAGGGGCCTCACCTGCCCTCCCACCTCTTTCCTCCCCAAAATGTCATCACTCCAGCCTATAATTGCAATAGCAGCTGGCATTTATTGAGTACCTACTGTGTGACAGGCTGTGGGACCTGGTGCCATTTGCAATAAGACTGTGGTTCCCGCCCTGACCGGTTTGGCTCAGTGGATACAGCTTCGGCCTGCAGACTGAGGGGTCCCAGGTTCGATTCTGGTCAAGGGCATGTACCTTGGTTGCGGGCACATCCCCAGTGGGAGGTGTGCAGGAGGCAGCTGATCGATGTTTCTCTCTCATCGATGTTTCAGGCTCTCTATCCCTCTCCCTTCCTCTCTGTAAAAAATCAATAAAATATATATATTTCTTAAAAAGACTGTGGTTCCCGTTTTCACAAAGGAAACAGACTTAGAGAGACTGATGGGCCCCAAGACCTCACACTCATGTCTCCTTGGCACCCAGGATTCTAAATAAGGACATCTCAACGCCCCCATCAACCTGCCCGGCCCAGAGCTCTCCAATCGGCCTCTCGTTGTGTCCTCCCAAACCCGGTCCTTCACTCCTTCAACCTGATACCCTTGGTCATCTCTCCCAAAGGCCTCCTCTAATTCTCTCAGGAACTTTAATTTCTCTCACTTTTTACTCCTTACCATTCTGCTACACCGACGGCCCACTCACCCTCCCACATGCGCTCCAAGGGTCTCAGCAGAAATGGTAATGATGAGGCAGAAACGTATCAAATTTTTCCTCCCTGACCCAGGCTCCCACACCCTGCACGCAGTCCTGCTCCCCGTAGGCGAAGTTCCGAGCGCAGCCACCAGATGGCGACCGGCTCTCTCGGGCAGGGCTTGCAGTAAGGCTGTGCGGCCGCCAGATGGTGCTCGAGGCCGCGGTCGGCGGGCAGTGCGGGGGACAAGACAGAACAGGAAGGCCCGAGGGTCCGAGCGCGGCCCCGCTTGACCTGAACACTCTCTTCTTGCTCAAGGTCGTCATCCATTGGCCCTCACTGTTGTCTCTTCTGCACTCCCGGGGTGTGAGGAAGGTGGAGATGCGGGGATGGGGTCCTGGAGCAGGGGCCCCGGCAGCCCCAGCACAAGTGACTTTGCCACCCCCGCGCCCTGCCCGCGCCATGATCCAGCCCGTGCCTCGGCTCTCTGTGCCCGCCGCGCTGGCCCTGGGATCGGCTGCTCTGGGCGCTGCCTTCGCTACCGGCCTTTTCCTGGGTGAGTAGGAACGAGCTAGCGGCTCCCTCTGCAGAGGTCCCGCGTGCGGGCGGGGCGGAAGTCCCGGGCGCTCTGGAGTCCCAGGCCCTGACCCAGCACCCCGCCCGGCAGGGAGACGGTGCTCTTCACGGCGATCCCGGCGAGAGAAGCGCCTTCTGCCCCCCGAGGACAGCCCCTTGTGGCAGTATCTGCTGAGCCGCTCCTTGCGGGAGCACCCAGCGCTGCGGAGCCTGCGGCTGGTCAGCGGGGCCGAGGGCGGGGACGGGCGCCCCCCCAGCCCCGCGGGTCCCAC